CCTTCAGCCCAGGACGTGATCCTGGAGACCCGGGATCGAATCCCACATCGGGCTCCCTGCACGGAGCTGCTTCTCCCTCTGCCTGTGTCTCTGCCTCTGCCTCTCATGAATTAAAAAAAAAAAGAGAGAGAGAGAGAGAGAGATTCAAATCATCTGCCACAGACCATAAATTCCTTAAGGGTAGGTTATTCCAATTCATGTGTATAATCTCTACACCTAATAGAGCAACTGACACATTGCAAACAATGTTATTAGCTGAATTAATTCTTACAAATCATCATTAAAAACAAAAAAAAACACCACCATGATTTCCTAGTAGCAAATGGAATGAGTTCTAAAAATTAAACTGAAACCTCTCCATAGAATGCTAAGGAGATAAATAATAAATCGGGGTGAAATTCACACTTCTTCAATCAATATGCTTTTTTTTTTTCAGATCCAGAAGAGATCTTCCATTTAAAAGAGTAACTATAACAAAAACATTTTAAGGATTCTGTCTTCTTAAATGTCATATTCTGCTAGCTAATATGAGAACAAAAATTACAATCAGATTCTCCATCCCATGCTCTGGTTTGGTCACTTAAAATTTTAGAAAAATCATCAATGTGCTAATTACTGTAAACCAGTTGGTGTTTGAACTGAGAACTATACTGCAGAAACAGTTAACAAGTTTAGACTTGAAAAAATGAAAAGAGAAATAGATTAGAAACATTATAGGCTTCTCTAATCTTAGTTTTTCCAATTGTTAATTAATTTGAGTAAATTTACTTCTCTGAATCTCTGTTTCTTCATTTGCAAAATGGAGACAATAAGGCTTGCTATGATAAGTAAATGAAATAACTGGCCAGAATTATGATAAACTTCCAATATATGCTAGTTATCATATTATATTAAAATACAGAATTGCTATCTAAGAATAAGGAAATGAATCTGATAGTTTTGGCAATGTAAGAACTTGAATAAAAAGGCACAATAATTTTAAAAGTATATTAAACATACTTATATAACTTCTGACATTTTTGATTATTCTAATATTGACATAAAATGTTCAAATGTAGAAATGGAATAAAAATTTTGCAGGCTGATGGACACTGCAGATATTTTTGAAAAACATACCTTTTCAACTGCCAGACTTTTTTTGCATCTCACTATATGGGACTTAACATTATGTGACTACACAATATATGTAACGAATTACATACAATAATATATACTACATAATATCATATACCTAGTAGATACATTATCATAAATAGTTGTCATTAACTCTAATTCTGATCAACTGCCCGGCAATGTGGGTATTGCCATTACTATTTTATAGCTGGAGATTCAGTATTAAATAACTTATTCAGAATTACATGCTCTCTTGGACAATCCCATCCACTTTCTTGAATTTACTTTAGCATATATCAAACATAACATGGTCCAAAAAATTCAACTGCATGAAGTGAGAGATTAAGGAGAAACAGATTTCAGTTAGCCTGTAAGGTATACATCTCAATGTCTCTGTCTTATTTACTCAACCAGTAAAGATAATAGACACTTATATTGTACAAAACTAAATGCACAATAAACTGATAATGAAATATCATGTTTCTAACCAAACCAAGCCCACTGCTGAGGACATTCATTTTTAGCTCTCCCTTTAAGGACAAAGGCTTAAGAGCAGACAGAAGCCAGTTGCCAATCACATCCTAACTTATTATTATGAGATCTATCATCACAGGCTTTAATTATAATACCTCTAAGCTGATGACTCAAGTCTCTATTTTCACGCTTGACCCTGCCTTTCAAATTCAAATACCTCCCCGATTATTTTTTTGATAAGTTCTCCTCATCTCAATTAATTTACCAACATCTATTCAGAGAACTGGCATTATAATTGATCCTCTTCTCCTCATGTCAACTCGCTGAAAGTCTGCCTATTTTCCCTTCTGTATTTCTTTGAATCCCACCCTTATTCTACATCAGCTAGTTCAGGCCCTCAAAATCCCTGAACGGACAACCTACATAGAATCTTTATATGCCTGATCCCTCACCCTCAAATCAACACTACCACCAGATTTCTAAAATGCAGACAGGAACATGACCTTTTCTTAAAATCCTCTGAATGTTCTCCAGTAGATGAAGTCTAACCTCTCTAGCACAGCAAACCAAACCCATCTATTTGTCCTGTAGTACAGAACCAAACAAAAATATGGACTCTTGGTAGTAAGTCACACTGGTGCTTTATTAATCAATTCCCTCTGCTTGAGCACAGCCCACATTCATCTTTAATTAGGCAGCTGATACTTAACATTCCCAAACTCAGGTGCTCCAGAAACCTTCCCTATGATTTCCTTTCTTAATGCCTTCACAGCATCCTGTGCGTAATGCTATTTAAAAGTGTCTTACATCACCTCCCCTCAGACTATAAGGTTTTTCACGAGCATGGTTCATATCCTCTTCTTTAGTCAGTCTCTCCATTTAGCACAGTCTGTCATGTAGGCACTCACTGAATTTTCTAACCAAGTGTTAGAACTATATGGATAATAGTGGTAAACTAGGATATGAACCTTGACTGCTGTAACTCCAAAGCTTACTGTCTTCTACTATACCATTCTAACTCCTGCTTTGTTCTTTGCAAATAAAGCCCCAATCTAAATGAACTGAATGCCAACTATCACAAATATCTTCCAGATTTTTCCTTTGTATTCTAAGATTAGGTCTGATTCTTATACTTTATGCCATGATGAACTAGACACATGTTAAACAATAAACCTGTAATGCAATCGTGAAAAGCTTTACAAAAGGAAAGCAGCAGTAACTCGAGAAAAACCCAAGCATCTACAGAAAATAAGAAAATCATACTCATTTTAAGTTCATGAAAATGATTTAGTACCATCAAAATTATCAAAAAATCAAGAAACTGTGCTTCCAATTAAAGAGCTGAAATTAATCAAATGATTAAAAAAATTATACTTGCAAGTCATGAAGATTATTACTTACAAAACAGAACAGAATCAAACACGCAAGCAATAACCAAAATAAGAGTCAAATGGCATCAAAAAAACATCTGGTAATGTCCAGAATATGTGATGTCAAATCTCAGTGATTTGAAGAAATAAATGCGTTTGAAGATAATGTACACAATTCATAAACCAATGAGTTAATGAACTCCCAATGACTTACACAGGTAAGTAACCAAAACCTAATTCATTTTGTAAAGTTTTTAAAAATGCCAAATACATATAGCCGAAGGCTTAGAAATTGGGTAAAAGAGTTAAAGTCACAATAAATAAAAAGGTTAGGTTCTTATACTATCTTATTTCTAACATTGCAGAACAATGCATTCTTAAAACAAATTGTGTTAAGTTAGACGTCATCAAATACCCAGGCCAAAACAAAGGTAGAAGAAATGAACAACCATCAGAAAGTATTTTTACTTTTGCATTATCTATACAGAACACTACATCTGCTTCTCCTCCTAGCTTCCACCAAAAGTAAACCAAAACGTTATACGTACACACAAGCTAGCTCTGTTTACGATTTGAATCCCAATGGTTCTTGGCAGCTCTTCAATGCTGTTTTGGCTCACCACATTTAGTGACCATTTCTTCTTAAGACGCCGTGCATGCTTTTTTAGTCCTTCTTACAATTCCATTTTGCATATACTTGTAATTAAAATAAACCTTACTGAGCTAAGATTTGTAGAGAAATAAACTCCTATTCTCATAATAATAGCTAACACATAAGTACTGCTTTTTTTTTTCTATACTAAGTATTCTACATATACTCATTCTTTTAACTCTAAAAATATCTCTAGGCGCTCTAATTTACTGGAAAGGAGACTGGAGTAAGGCACTTGGTCTCACGAACTGTTAACTGTCAAAACTAGGATTAAATTTAGGCAGCTTGATGTTCTTGAAACATAAATCCTCTTCCATGAATTCTACCTCTCAATTTCCATCTTTCTTCACATTTTCCTTCCGCAGAGACCCATTAAGTTTTTTCTCACCACTTACTATATCCACTAACCATGGAGTCTACAACTTAAAATAGTCGATCTTCCCTAACAGTTCTGTTCCCCTTTTATTTCATGTTGACTAACATAACTTTAAAAAAAAAAACGGACTTAGTGATAAACTGTTTTGTAAATGTGCAACCACGTACATCTTTTTAAAAGAAATCCTGGAATCTCCCTATGTCAAATAGGGAGATATCCAACGAGAGAGGGCGTTCTCATTACAGCTGCTTCAAAGACGCTGTTCCCAACCACCGATCTCACGTGGCAATCATTCTACTTTTCTTCCTTTCCATATCAAACTACTATTTAAAATTTAGAAACAAAATCCAGGGCCGCCTGAGTGGCTCGGTGGTGGAGCGCCTGCCTTCGGCTCAGGGCGAGAGCCCGGTCCCGGGATCGAGGTCCGCATGGGGCTCTCCGCGGGGAGCCTGCTTCTCCCTCTGCCTGGATCTCTAACTCTCTGTCTGTGTCTCTCATGAATAAGCAAAATCCTTTTTAAAAAAGAAAAGATCCATTCCCTCAGTCGAGATCAATTTTTCAGGTTCTGGTTTCATACCCTAAGCATCCCCTGCACACATTCTTCCTTTCCTTCTCACTCCTCTGAAGGAACAGCCGTCCGCAAGGGAGGTCCGGCGCCACCTGGGCGGCACCTGCTGGTCCGCGCTGCGTGTTTTCCGGCGAGTGCGCGAGAACCTTCCAGAAGGCTTCCGTCCACGCGGGCGCGCCGGCCATGTTGGTCTTCCTCTCCCGTGGAGAGCTGCTCCGTCGCAGGAGTCGTGCGGGGCCGGGGCGGGCCGAGGCTGCACGTTTCCAGGAGGGGCGCGCTCGAGCGCTCGGAGGGCTCCAGGGCCGTGAGCGCCCCGCCGGCCGGCGCTCGCCCCGCAGGCGCGCCCACTGCGGGGCCAGGGCGCCCGGAGACGAAGGCCGCCTGGGCACCCTGCTAAGAGGCGGGCCGGGGCAGGCGTGTTGAGGGGGAGTCGCAACCAGTACTTACCACTGCGAGGCGTTGCCCGAGCTTTCCTCTGCGGGTTTCAGGAAGACCCTCTGGAGGTGATTGGACATTTTAGAGGGGCGGGAGGGGCCGGCACCTCCAGGGAAGTGGGCAACGAGGGGCCGAGAGCCTCCCGAGGGGCGAGACCCGGAGCGACCCGGTGTTGTGCTGGACGGCGCCCCGGCGCGACCCACACGGGTTCGCTGCGAAAGGAGGGCCCCAGCCTTCGGAAGGAGGCGACGCGGCCCCCAGAAACCGGAAGGACCGCAGCGGCGGACGACGCGGCCCGGGCCCGGCCTCTGGGAGGAGCGGCCCGAGTCTCCGCCCCCCGCGAGCTGACGGCGTCACGCCAGAGCCAATCGGAGTCGACGCGGGAGGCGGGGCCTTAGTGGCGCCGCCCCCAGCAGCGCCGGGTCCGTGGGGAAGACCACGCCGGACGGGCTCGGCCGACCCCGCCCACCGCAGCCGCCGGCCGGGCCCAGCTCAGTCAGCGGCTTCCGGCGTCGTCACATCCGGTCGCCGAGGTGACTGGCTCGCTAAAGTACCGCCCCGATGCTACGATCCAATCGCAGAGGACGTTTGGTATCTCTTCTTCCGGATCAACGAACGAATCACGAGAGGATATGCTCAAGATGCCTACGCGAAATAAAACGTTTCCGGGGTCATTGGTAAATTTTCTGCCAATGCGCTCGCCGCTGCTGCACGTTTCTCTTTCCCGCCAGCGCCAGAGGAGACGTCGGCGGCGGTTCTGGACTCGTGCCTGGCGCTGTGCGCGCCTCTTAGACGCCTGCCCGTGGGCAGCGCTCTGTTTATTGCTGCTTCCTGCGCTTTCTCGTTCGTTTCCTCTTTCTTGAAGTTTTGCTTGCCTCTCTTCTTAACCTGACGTTTCCCTCCACCGCGCGTTCACCTCGTGCCTCGGTCAGAGTCATTTATCGTCAGAGAGTTAATCGGCTGGTTCTCTGAAAGTTCGCCCTCCACAGACATCTTTTTTCCTCTTCACTTGGCTCTCCAGAGAAATTATTTTCAGAAGTCTCCCGGCTCCCGGTGTTGATCCTGCATGCGAGAGACTGGCCAAGCCCCTGGTGGAAGGGCGGGCGGTGTCGTTCAGCCGGGGCTGCAGGGAGGCGGCGGCAGGAGCGGCCGACGAGGGCGTCTTATGAGGGACAGGCGGTGGAAGTGTGAAGTGGCGCATACTGACTGTCCGGCCTCGGGGGCCGAGTCCCCTGGCCCCTCATCCCCTAGCTCCGTGGTGAGCGCAGTGAAACGACAGTGTTCCGACAGGTTAAGAGAAAGCACGACTTCCTGAGCGCGGTGCTCTGGTAGTTTCGGTGGCACGGAATCCTGCGTGTGTAGCTGGCGTCTGTCTTTCAGTCGAGTATCTCCCGCACTGAAGGGGGGCGAGGTGCTCAGCCCTTCATAGGGGCTGGGTTTCCGTCATTCTCCGATCTGAATAAGTTGCCCATTCTTGGCTGCTTCCCTGCTTCATCATTTATTTCTTACTTTCCACACTCAATTCTCCTCCTACCCGTCGTCTCTTCCTAGGTACGAAAACTCATTGTCACAGGTTGGTTTCCCTGGGAAACGGACTTTGTCCGGTGTATTTTGGCGTGAGGGAAGTTTATCAGGGATCAGTATTGGGGAGGGGAGGGAAAGGAAGTGAAGCTGGGAAGACGGAGAAGTTCGGTTGTGGTGCCTCCTCTCAACAAAGGCCTTTGCCTATCGCACAGAGACCTCTAGAATACGATGGACTTTCAGCGGTGTCCCCAGTAGGAATGCAGGCCTTGCCAAGGAAAGCTGTGTGACCTTAGGCAAGGAGGTTCTCTTCAGCCAAGGCAATTACTCAAGGAGGCTGGTAGCTGAGACGTGTCTGCTGGCAGCACTCCCAGCAACCGGTGGAATAAGACCTTTATTCCTCGAGGGAGGCCCCAGAAATACATCACAGCAAGGGCAGTAGTCATTAAATCCCTCATTCAACTGTTGTAATTAATTCCGTTTATCTCACATTCATTCGGATCTGTACTCAGCAGCACTATTAATTATTCCTTCACTCTGGGTGCATTTGGGAATATGCTTCTTTGGTTTTCCTCCTCCTTTTTCGTCTGCTTACTCCTCATTCTTTTTTGGAGGTTAATCCCTTCCTTCTCAGCCATTAAATAAAAGTTTCTTAAGTCTTGATCATTGATCCCCTTATTTTCTCGAACTGTTATGTCTCACGTGATTTCAGCCATGCTCATAGCTTCAATCACCACTTCTACACATTGCTATACTGACCAAACACTTATGTAATACTACGTGCCAATTAAGAGAAGTCAGAGTGTGTTAAAGTATGTATCTTGATAGCAAAAGATAGTGACAAATTTAAGGAACTGACAGAAATGAGCAGATTCATAAGTCAGCACATGTAGAGGATGATTTTACATACATCTCTGAGAAATTAATACTTGAAGCAGACAAAAAAAGTGGCATAGGTATCAAATTTCTAAGCAAAAAACGAGATCAAGCCAGTAGATGTGTAAATAACTCCATTCAAGGTATATAGTTCACTATTATTTTTAAAATTTATTAAGTAATTTTTTCAGCTGAGGTTATGACATCAGGGTCATGAGCTCGAGTTCTGCATCAGGCCTGTGCTTGGTGCAGAGTCTGCTTGAGATTCTCTCCTTTTCCCTCTGTCACCGCCCCCCAAAATAAATAAATAAATAAATAAATAAATAAATAAATAAATAAATAAATAAATAAATAAAATCTGTAAAAAAAAAAAGGAGATAAACAGTTGGCAAGATTGATCGAGCAAGAAAAAAAGAAGATACAAGTAAGCAAAATCCAGAATAAAAAGGGAGAATAGCTATAAATACTATAAATACAACAGATTTTTTTTGCAAGTATTATGAACAGCAGTTATAACACACCACTTGCTGAATCCTGCTACAATGATTAACTACCATTAGCTGCTGGTTCCTTTATCTAGCTTATAAAAGGGAAACATTTTAAGAACTAATAAAAATTTTGAAAACTGAGGGAGCTGAAGGCTGTTTTAAAGAAATGAATGTATATGGCAAGGGAAGAAGGTAGCTGCAGTCTGGGGTGGAGAACAGAGGACACAGTGAAAGAACAGGCTAGAGAAAGGCTGCTCACATTGTCCTCGGACAATCAATGTCTCCTCAGAAGAAATTTAAGGAAATAATCCAGACCTCTGGGAAAGTCAGCAAAAGAAACTGAGGTGAAGCATTGAATAAAATAAATTAATTTTACCGAAAGATTCAGGCATTCATTTTTCTATATCTCTCTTCCTCAAAATCCTAAGACAGATCACAGGGACACAGCCTGTTTCAAATTTCCGTCTTTAAGTCCAGCAATACCTTGACTGGAGGAGTTGGTTTGAGGGTAGGCAGCAAGTGGGAATTATTAACTGATTTGGAGATACCTAGAATTCTGTGTCCTAGAGCTCAAACTCACCCCCTCCATTTTACTAGAAAATGGCATAGATAAGGGTCAGGCCATTGGCCCTTGCCCAAAACACATTACCAGGTAAAGCAGCCAAAATCAACAGGAAACTAGGACATCACAAACCAAAGTAACTAAAAACTGAAGGAGTACAAGCCCCTCAGAAGAAAGAGGTTGGGAAAAAGAAGAGATGGGGAGGGGCAACATGGCGGAAGAGCAGGGTCCCCAAATCGCCTGTCCCCACCAAATTACCTAGATAACCTTCAAACAATCCTGAAAATTTACGAATTCGGCCTGAGATGTAAAGAGAGACCAGCTGGAACGCTACAGTGAGAAGAGTCCGCGCTTCTATCAAGGTAGGAAGACGGGGAAAAAGAAATAAAGGAACAAAAGGCCTCCGAGGGGGAGGGGCCCCGCGAGGAGCCGGGCTGAGGCTGGGGCGAGTGTCCCCAGGACAGGAGAGCCCCGTCCCGTCCCGGAGAAGCAGGAGCTGCACCAACCTTCCCGGGCGGGCGGAAAGGGGCCCGCAGGGAGTTGGAGCAGGACCCAGGAGGGCGGGGATGCCCTCGGGCTCCCGGGGACACTAACAGACACCTGCGAGCGCAGGAGAGTGCTCCGAGCTCCCTAAGGGCTGCAGCGCGCATGGAGGGACCAACCGGAGCAGCTCGGAGGGGCTCGGGAGCGGCTCCAGGGAGGGGGCTGCGGGGCGGGAGCGCGAATCCACCAGCGCAGGCCCCGGAGCACAGGGCGCCGGGACACAGCCCAGGATCCGGCCTCCCCCGGGACAGGCATTCCTGCGGAGGCTAAATCCAGGCTTCCAGAGTTGCCATAGCAACTCCTGCTGTTCCTCCTGGAGCCCCACGGGGGTAAACAACCCCCGCTGAGCCCGGCAGCAGGCAGGGGCAGAGCAGCTCCCCCAAGTGCTAACATCTGAAAATCAGCACAGCAGGCCCCTCCCCCAGAAGACCAGCTGGACGGACCAGTGATACTCCCCCGTGTTCCAATACAACTTGTTTTTGGCCACTCTGCACTGAGCAAAATGACTAGAAGGAAAACCTCACCTCAAAAGAAAGAATCAGAAACAGTCCTCTCTCCCACAGAGTTACAAAATCTGGATTACACTTCAATGTCAGAAAGCCAATTCAGAAGCACTATTCTACAGCTACTGGTGGCTCTAGAAAAAAGCATTAAAGACTCACGAGACTTCATGACTGCAGAATTTAGATCCAATCAGCCAGAAATTAAAAATCAATTGAATGAGATGCAATCCAAACTAGAAGTCCTAACGACGAGGGTTAACGAGGTGGAAGAACGAGTGAGTGACATAGAAGACAAGTTAATGGCAAAGAGGGAAACTGAGGAAAAAAGAGACAATCAATTAAGGGACCATGAAGACAGATTAAGGCAAATAAATGACAGTCTGAGGAAGAAAAACCTACGTTTAATTGGGGTTCCCGAGGGCGCCGAAAGGGACAGAGGGCCAGAATATGTATTTGAACAAATCCTAGCTGAAAACTTTCCCAATCTGGGAAGGGAAACAGGCATTCAGATCCAGGAAATAGAGAGATCCCCCCCCTAAAATCAATAAAAACCGTTCAACACCTCGACATTTAATAGTGAAGCTTGCAAATTCCAAAGATAAAGAGAAGATCCTTAAAGCAGCAAGAGACAAGAAATCCCTGACTTTTATGGGGAGGAGTATTAGGGTAACAGCAGACCTCTCCACAGAGACCTGGCAGGCCAGAAAGGGCTGGCAGGATATATTCAGGGTCCTAAATGAGAAGAACATGCAACCAAGAATACTTTATCCAGCAAGGCTCTCATTCAAAATGGAAGGAGAGATAAAGAGCTTCCAAGACAGGCAGGAACTGAAAGAATATGTGACCTCCAAACCAGCTCTGCAAGAAATTTTAAGGGGGACTCTTAAAACTCCCCTTTAAGAAGAAGTTCAGTGGAACAATCCACAAAAACAAGGACTAAATAGATATCATGATGACACTAAACTCATATCTGTCAATAGTA